AGAGAGAGAGAGAGAGAGAGAGAGAGAGAGAGAGAGAGAGAGAGAGACTGTCTTTGTCCTTCCTTAGGCCTGATTGCAAGTAAATAGTTTCTAAAGGTAAATGGGAATAATTATAATGTTCTCGTCTGCTAGTCGATTCTATATCGGTTGCAGGAAAGCACCAGAGTTCATCCCTTGTTTAGCTGCAGTAATTCCCAGCTATTCAGGGTTTTCCAGTTGAGTTTCAATGGAGATCATGCACGAATCTATCAGCATGCACTGTTTTAAACCAGGCACTTGCCCATTGTCCTTGTTGCTCAGGGTCTAGAAGTTATAGTTGATACAACACAGCTGTTTTTGTTCTTACTAGTAGTCCTTGACATACGGCCATTCATTCAGGGACTGGGTACCGAACGAATGCTAGTTAGGACGGGTCCTACTCCTCATAGTTCCTTCCAGCTCAGCATTCTCACAGTCATGTGATCTGGGTGCTTGTCAGTCAGCTCACACTTAGGACTGCTTGTGAACACCTGAACTCCGTTTGCAACGTTTCCCTGCCAGCTTCTCCAAAAAGTCAACGGGGAAAGGTTTGCAAGTTGCTGGGGAAAGTCTTCCCCACCCACGCAAGCTCTCCTGGCCTTCTGCAGGGCCCCTATGCACCCCCCGTGATCCACATCTCTTGGGCACTCCCTCACACCCTGCCAACCTGTGCCTCTCACACACCTTGTTCTCTCCCCCACCCAGCAGCAGCCACTTACCTGTCTGCAGGCCTGGAACCTGCAACTTCCTGCCAGGTTTCACCCTGACTTTTGGCTTCACACCTCACCCAACAAGTGGAGGGTCTCGATTAACCATGGCAACTGGGATTGCAGGGATCGCCACCACTAAATGATATGGTCACGCTTTAAGACTGCCTTGCTTAGCAACAGAAATTTCGTTCCCACTTGTTGCTGTAAGTCAAGAACTTAAAAGAAAAGAACTAAAGATTTCACCTGTCCAGTCATCTCCAACTCTAGGGAGGTGGTGCTTATCTCTACTTCCTCGCTGAGGAAGTCAGTGTTGCCAAACATGCTATGTGGTCATGTGGCCAGCATGACTGTACACCAAGGCACATGGAACACTGTTACCTGCCCACCGAAGTGGTACCTAATTATCTACTTGGATTTGCATACTTTTGGACTACTCGGTTGGCAGGTGCTGGAGCAAGAGCAGGGGCTCACCCCGTCACGTGGTATTTGGGTCTCGAACTGCCAACCTTTCGCCTGACAACCTCTGCATCTTCACCACCAATTCACTGTGGCCCCTAAGTCAAGGACCACCTAGAATTAAAAAGAGAACACTTCACCTCACTAAACAGAAAGGAGCATTGGATGGTCTTCAAACTTTTACAGCTCAGATCAAATCATTACAGCTCAAAGGCCAGGTAGAATAAAAATAATAAAAGAAGTATTTCATCTTTCCATACATGTGTATAAACGGTCAAACCGTAAGTGTAACAGAATCTAGAAATAATTCAGAACAAAAATGCTAAACAAATCCAAGTAAAATAAAAATATATATAAAAATAAATAAATTCCAAATCTAAATAACAATGAAATATATTCAGCAAACGGTAGCACTGAATTGGGTGACTTGAGAGATTGTTTTAGAAGGTGTACTTCCTACCTGGACTTCCTAACTGTACTTCCTACCTTCAAGACCGGACGCAAAAGGGTCTGTTTGGAATCCATATGGCTTAGACTTCCTATGGAACCTTGACCACATGGGCATAACCAAAAGTGCTTAGGAGTACCCTTAAAACATCCAAAGAGGACTGCTAGGGGCGAAGCATCCAACCTGGCTTACAGTGAAGACATTACAAAATTTTAAAATCAGAATAGATGGAGTCTGGAGCAAATCTTTTGGAAGTAAATGATAAATATTGGGGTGTGACACTTTACTTAACATTGTTGGGAGATCTATATCCCAAATTAGTTTCTTAGAGGGAGTTGTAGCATTAGAAAAACTTAAAAAGCACACTTTCCATAGAGAGGCCTAGAAGTTGAATTTTTACCAAGGGCTTTTCAAAGCCATGATGATTTCAAACAATTTTTAAATACTAATGGGACCAAACCTATAGGAAGCGGAATTAACTTTAGCCAGAAGCCGAGAAAAAGGAACCATGCTCCAGCATCCAAGAGAAACTAGGCCAGTTTTGGCATGTTGGATGGCATTTTTAATGAAATGTTGGAACCATCAACCTGGCTCTTAACACATTTATTTTGGACGGGTTCAATTGAAGCTTTGCAAAAGAGTCAATTTGGGAGCCATAAAGAAGCCGAGGGACTCTTTGAGCTTGGAAGACCTTTAGTTTGAAAGGACTATAATAGACTCCTTTCAAATGGGTAAAATCGTACAATAGCTACAGAGGTTACGCTTTGCAACATTGCCTGATAAGAAAAATGAAGATGCCAGAATAAGAAAGCATGAAATTGCACGCCAGGGTATTTATAGGTGTGCACCTGTTCAGCTGGTGTCCCATTTATTTGCCATTTATAAATTTTACGACGTCGGGTAAAAACTTTAAAAAAAAATATTGATAGATTTTGTTCTATGCAAAATAAAACTGATGCTTTCCTCATTCCCAACGTGCGAAGTAGCTTTAATAAAGACATCACCAGCGTGCGGCAGTGTTGAAATCACACCATCAGCCAGGATGGGTGGGTGATGGGCTAAAATTACAAGTGTTTGGGTTACAGGGAGTCCTCAACTTACAACATTTCATTTATTGACTGTTTGAAGTCACAACTGCACTGGAAAAAGTGACCTGTGACCGGGGGTGGGATTCTTCCTGGTCAGACCAGTTCTATAGAACCGGTTGTTACAATCTGCGCAGTTCGGAGAACTGGCAAATCACGCCACTGGCTGGCCCCTCCCCTCCCAGCTCACTCCTCCTGCGTTTGGTAAGTTGCTATTTTTTCTTTTTTCCCCCCGACCATCAGCTATTCTACTGTGTCGGGAGATTTAGATTAGCTAGAAAGCAGGAAATCGTTGGATTTCTTGCTTTCTAGCTAATCTAAAAGCAGAGCTGAACCTTCCTTAGGACTGAAGCTTCTATTTTTTTCAGTGCAGACTCAGGTAGCAGATTGCAGAAAGGTAGATCTCTGAGTGAATATGTGATTCTGTGAGCAACTCAATCTGCCTGCCTCCTTTGCCTGATTTTGGGTAAAAATTGCTCTTTTTTAAATAAAAAATTCAATGTTTAGATAAATATTTATAATATTTACATACAAGCCACGCCCAGCCAGTCACATGACCACCAAGACACACCCCACAAATTAGGCCACGCCCAGAGAACCAGTTGTTAAGAAATTTGAATCCCACCCCTGCTTGTGACCATTTTTCTCACTTAAGACCATTGCAGCATTCCCCAGAGTCAACGTGACCCAAATTTAGATGCTGGGCAACTGATTCATATTTATGACGGTTGCAGCGTTCTGGAATCACGTGATTCCCCTTTGCAACTTTCTGACAAGCAGAGTCAATGGGGAAGCCACTTTACAGCCATGTTGCTAACTTAACAGCCCCAGTGATTCACTCAGCAACGGTGGCAAGAGAGGTTGTAAAATGGGGCAAGATTCATTTAACAACTGTCAACGCTTGGCAGCAGAAATGTTGGGCTCAGTTATGGTTGTACATCAAGGACTACCTGTGTTGAATTTAGATACACATTCACGGCAAAAACAAAGATGTATGGTTCCTCAAAACGGGATAAATCATTTCATTCTGAGCAGTCATTTTAGTGCCAGGCGGCATTTCTTTGTCCAAAAATGCTACACAGATGAAAATAGAGATAAATTTTAACAAGTTTTGTATGAGTGGTGCTTCAAAATCATATGTGAATCGTGGGCATGTTGAAATTTGGTTTCAGCCATCCACAAAAATCTTTTAGGACTAAACTTTTCCCCATGAAGCCGGAATAAAGTTCTTGGGCAAGAAACCATTTCCTTTTGAAAACACAGCCTGTGAATGAATGCAAAGTGCCGAGACTGTGTTTTGAAATCCTTGGACAAACCAGGAATCTTCTCCGCAAGACAAGAACGAACCGCGTTAGAATCTTACTTTTAGTAAATATTAACTCTTTTTTTCCCTTGGCATCATGGAAATTCCTCTTGTATCCTTGGCACGTACAGGTCATCCATCCTGCTTGAAGTTCTCCCCAGAATTAACCGTTCGGGTGAAGGCCTTACGATGGCAGTGCATTGAGTGTAAAACCTGCAGTTCCTGTCGAGACCAGGGCAAAAATGCTGTGAGTATGTGAGCTGAAGGTTTATCTGCTGGATCAGATATATCAAGACAGCAAGAGCCCTTAGACTTATATACCGCTTCACAGTGCTTTACATCCCCCTCTCTGAGTGGTTTACAGAATCAGCCTCTTGCCCCCCAAAATCCTGGTCCTCATTTTACCCACCTTGGAAGGATGGAAGGCTGAGTCAACCTGAAGCCCGTCAGAATTGAACTCCTGGCTGTGTTCAGAGTTAGCCCGCATTCTAACCACAGGGAGGGAGGGAGGGAGGAAGGAATGAAAACAGCAATAGTACTTGGACTTATTTACCACTTTCCAGCCCTCTCTGAGCGGTTTACAGAGTCAGCCCTCTTGCCCCCAAAATCTGGCTCCACATTTTACCCACCTTGGAAGGATGGAAGGCTGAGTCAACCTTAAGCCCATCAGAATCGAACTCCTGGCAGTGGGCAGAGTTTGCCTGCAATGCTGCACTCCAACCACTGCACCACCATGGCTCCTGAGATGATCTTGGTCTGGATAAAACTTGGAGTAATCTCTTTTGCAGAATTCATCTGATTTGCACTTACACTTTGATTCAGCGACAATCACATATACCTTTGTAATGTCCAAGTTAGAGCACTTTAAAAATACTTTTGGGCTATTTGGAAACTACAGCTGGCACAAAGTGCAATGGGAGTCCAGCTGGAGCTTATTGCAGGAAACCGTTGAAACAATTGTTTTATTCCCAGCATGTTTTTGGATCTAATCCAGAGCTCTGAGGTTACTGTTTAATGCTCCGAAGGGCCTTGTAGTCTGTGAACTACTATATTCCCTGTGTGCCTGACCATTTTCTAAAATCATCAAATGCAAGGGATGCTTTGTGTCGTTCTGCGGCTAATGTTAGATAAGTGGGTTTGCACGAGAGCGTTTTTGTGTCCCTTGTTGTTGGTGATCTTTTTAATCTTTTCTTTTCAAAGCATATAGTGAAGAAGCCTGTCTGATTTTACTTATGTATGTTTATTTATGTAAACATTCGTTAAAATGTGTTTTTTTTAAATAGAAAAGCAGAACACAATTATGTGAAAACAAAAGTTGACACTTTAAAAAGAGCAATAACAAAAATATTTCTTCTCATGCTTGTTAGTTTAATATGTTGCTTGTCACAATAGTGACAAATTTATTTAAAAGTTAATTTAATACATAATCTTTCCAAAATCGTGACAATGTAATCCGTAACAAAATGACAATAAATCAGTAGAACAATCAAACTGGAATGTGAATAAGAAGGGTTTCTAACTTTCAACTACTGCAGACAGAAGTCAGCTTTGAATTCAAAAATTGCAAAACCAGTTCTACATGAGGCGGCTGTCTTGTTGATTGTGGTTTTTCAGAAAGTTCCATACAGAAGGTGCCCTCTGTGGTTGTTCTAACTTTAGAATATGAGCAAGGCGTATGAAATAAGTTATTTATCAGAGGGGTGGTGGTAATTATGAAGAAGACATTCTCTTAATTCATTAATTGAGCCAATTTGGCCTAGTGGTTAAGGCACCAGCCTTGGAAGGCCAAGGCTGTGATGTTCAAGTTGTGCCTTAGGAATGAAAGCCAGCTGGGTGACTTTGGGCCAGTCCCCCCCCCTCTCTCTCAGCACAACCCACCTCACAGATGGGAAAATAGACGTGTTGGGTATGCTCGCCACTTGGGTTATTTGTAAAAATAATAAATAATAAATTTATTTGGGCTACAAATAAAATAAATAAATTGGTTACAGTAGGTAGATCTGTATCCCGCCCTTCCTCTAAGAGTGCAAAGTAGCATGATCCACCCCCAGTTTTATCCCCACAGCAGCCCTGGGAATAAGTTAGGCCAGTGGTTCCCAACCTTTTCTTCACCCCGCCCCCTTTAAATACCTTCTGTGGCCATGGACACCCGTGACTTAAGATTAAAGTCACAACATTTCTTCAAGCCTTTGCGAACCCCCTATGATGACATCGTGGTCCCCCAGGAGTCCTTGGAGCACAGGTTGAGAACCCTCGGGTTAGACTGAGAGAAGGTAACTGGTCCAAAGGTATCCGGTCAACTTTTGTGGCTGGGGAATGGCCTCGAGGTCGCTCTAGCCACTATATCACCGTGGCTCCCTTAGGTATTCTGAACTGTGGCCCAACGCCTTGGTGACTTCCAGGTTGTAACTCTCCTAAGCTTGCACATACAAGGCATTAACCAGAAACATCTGTGCCTTTACAGGATAATATGCTCTTTTGTGACTCGTGTGATCGGGGCTTTCATATGGAGTGTTGTGATCCCCCTTTGACAAGGATGCCAAAAGGTAAGGAGGGAGGCGGCAGCTCAGAAATGCTACAAGAAGGAGAGGTAAAGTTTTTTAGATTACGTAGAAAAACTTGAGCACACAGGATAGAATCCATAGGCAGAACAATTTACCCATTTGCACTCCTGTGCAATAAAAGAAACTGCTTTATGATAAAGGAGCTAAGAAAACGAATGGCAGGACTAGTTTTTCTTCCCTGCTTTTTAACATATATATGTGAAGTTGCTGGGAGATGTTCTTCAGTGGTTCAGGACATGGTGGTATCATCAATATCCTTGTCTGGTGTCCTATGGATTGCCAGGATTTGGAGGGAAGAGAGAGCAGCTCTCTTGAGTTGTTGTGAATACACTAGGGTTTTCCATCACTGCCTCAAGCCTTCCCTGTCAAAGAGCAGGTACACGATATGGGAATCCTTCTGGATTCACAGCTCATGATGGATGTCATGGTTAGAAGATTCCCAACTTTAGCTGGTGCTTCAGTTGCAACCCTACCTCAGGCACAATGAACCTAGCTGCAGTAATTCTCACGCTTATCGCCATCTAGCTAGACTTCCCTAATGTGCTCTATTTGTGGTTGCCCTTAAAAACTACCCCAAACATTACAACGGATCCCAAAATGCACCAGCTTGCATACTTTTTGGCTTCTGCTGTTGGAAGTACGTATGTGACACTGGTTTGTGCACCCTGTATTGGTTGCCATTTGGTTTCCAGGTGCAATTTAGGGTGCTGGTTTTTTTTAAAGCCATAAATGGTTATGTCACTGCAGGACCACCTACTCTAAGGAGTATTGCCCTAATTGACAAGGTCTAAGAGGGAGAACCTATTACCAACTCTTCATTTTCAGAAGATCCAGGTGGCTAAAGGGAGGAGGCCCTCCTGTGAGGTGATAGCACTGATGCTATGGAACAGCCTCACAGTTGAGATCAGGTTAGGCCCCCCATTGAAAGCATTTAAAAACTGACCCAAAAGTGCTTTTTCAAGAGGCAAGTGGACTTTCTGGTTTTTCTTGGAAGATGTTTCGCTTCTCCTCCAAGAAGCTTCTTCAGAAGATAGGGTTCTTCTCTAAAATAGGATTTCTCAGCCTTAGCAATTTTAAGATGGGTGGGCTTTTAACTCCCAGAATTCCCAGGTGGTGGGGAATGAAAGGAAGATGCGAAACGTCTTCAAAGGAAAACCAGAAAGTCCAGTTGTCTCTTGAAAAAGCACCTCCGAGACCACCATGACCTGGATGACTGAGAATCTTCCTAGACATTTAAAAACCGAATTTTCCAAGAACATTTTATTACTGATTTTAGTATGCCATCTTCATTTTCTACTTTTATTCTTGCTAGTTTTTTTCTGTTTGGGCGGTGACGTTTTTAATTCTTTTTAGAATTGCTATCCTGTCCAGTTTTACTCACCTTTATGTTCTGTGCGAGAATCTCCAGATAGAAGATAGAAATGTGGGACACAAACAAGCAAGACTGTGGTGCTCTTGTATGATGATGGGGTTTGTCTCTTACAGGCATGTGGATATGTCAGATATGTCGACCACGTAAAAAAGGAAGAAAACTACTCCAAAAGAAGGCAGCACAGATTAAGCGACGTTATGCCAACCCAATAGGACGTCCCAAAAACAGATTAAAGAACCAAAATGCAACGTAAGTACTCTGAGGCTTGAATAGAGATTGAAGCAATTTTGCTGTTGGAGATGCCCTCCTTTTTGCAAATTTAAGCACCGAGTAACTTAGTAGCTACTTCGGAAGATGTTGGTATTACCTCAATTTTAAATAGATTTTTCCTTTAAACATTTGGGTTTTTTTATTCACTAAATTCTTTAATATTCAGCAACATTGTTTTGGTTTCAACATTTATTTCCATTTCTAGCTTTGGAGTTTGCCAAATGAAGAGTTGGGGAGAGTTAGGTGGAAAAACACTTTTACAGGATGGCACCGTGCAATATTGATATTTCTTAATTCTGTCTTCTAAAAGAACACTGCTGCAAAAGATGGATTTTGCCAGAAGAGCTACCCTTAGGTTAAAAATCCTTCAGGGAGTTTGGATTTCAATTTGATTTAGAGCCATTAGTGAGCTTTGATTCTTAGGAAAAATGTATGTTGAACATACATTTAATTAATACAACTTTTGAGTTATGGATGTCCATTAAATATTTTATTTTTTATTTTGAGCTTCTAACAAAACAGTCCCACTTGAAACATTCCATCAGACCATTTTGTTAGACTAGCAAAGCTAGCTTATGTTCTGCTAGAAAAAATCTTGAAGCAAACTCGTAGACCATTCACATTTTGCTTTAGTCTTGGAATACTACCAGTCCTCAACTTATAGCCACAATTAAGCCCAAACTTTCTGTTGTTAAGTGAGACATTAAGTGAGTTTTGCCCCATTGAATAACCTTTCTTGTCACAGTTGTTAAGTGGCTCACTGCAGTTGTTAAGTGAATCTGTCTTCCCCATTGTCAGACGGTTGCAAAGGTGATCCCATGACCCTAAGACACTGCAGCCATCATAAATGTGAACCAGTTGCCATTCACCCGAATTTGGATTACGTGACCATGGCGATGCTGCAACGGTCATGAGTGTGAAAAATGATCATAAGTCAATTTTTTCCAGTGCCGTTGTAACTTTGAACAGTCACAAAACAAACTGCTATATGTTGAGGACTACGCATACTCAAACATGCCCTGTCTTGTGGTTGAAGTAACTCTTTCCAAGGCTCTTAGAAAGCACAAATTTTGCTCTGAGTCTGGACCACTCGCACTGTTTTCTGCACCCCTGTTTTTTTTTAGGATATGGATATTTTCGATATTGCATCCCTTTCTAGCATCCCCCCCTTCAAAACAGAGAACAGTTTTACTAAGATACTGATCTTATTTCTAAAAAAGACCATTTACTTTCCTGCAACCATATTATCTCCCAGAAGTTCAAAATTGTTGCGGCAACAATGAAATCTTTATTCATTATTTCATTTGAATAATCAGCTATGCTGGCTGGAGAATTCTGGGAGTTGAAGTCCACAAGTCTTAAAGTTACCAAGTTGGGAAACCTCTGGATTAGATGCTTATCAGTTAATCCAATGCAAAAAAAAAAAAAAAAAACCCTGGGAAGCGATATAAAAGATAAAACATTCAGGGATGTGCCAAAAGGGGACATGTCGCTGTTCCATAACACACACAGAATATTGCATACCTGTTCTTATTCTGGAAGATTTACTTCTGGAAAACAGAACAGCTGGATTGGGACATTCTGGGAAATACTGGGATATTCTACCCTTGTATGTGTTTTAGTTTTGCCCACAAGCGAAACCACCGTTTCAGAAGCCTTTTTATAGATCCTAAGATTCTGGCTCATAAAATGGTAAAGGAGTCCCTGCACATTTTACTCATTGTTAGAGAGCAGTGATCATCTCCGTTTCTTGCTCATAAACACAGATTTTTAATATTTTACCAAAAATGGAAGCATGCATCTTTTGTGGTGGTGGTTGTATTTTATGTTTATGCAGAAGAGTCATGAGAAATCAACACCAGGTGCCATTTTGCACAGTAACACGGAAGTAATTTCTCTGTTGAACTATTGAACGCAGTTGGATTTGATTCCAGTAAACTCACAGGGATGATAAAGTATAACTCACAGCCCAAGCAGAATTTTTAAAAAATATATATACTGTGAATCAAAGTACTGTTTGCAAGCTTGGTTGATACTTTGCCTGTCTTCTTTTCTGCTAGCTAACACCCTCTTCTTTTCCTCTCCAATTACTTGTTCAGATCAAAAGCCCCCTTCAGCAAAGTTCAGACAGGACCCGGTCGGGGTCGTAAGCGTAAGACCCCCTTATCCAGCCAGTCAACTTGCTCTTCAGATGGGGGCTACTTGGACCAAGTTGATGGTCTGGAGTTCTGCGGCGATGCGAGCATCACCTTGAAATTCAACAAGAAAACCAAAGGGCTTATCGATGGCCTTACCAAATTCTTCACCCCGTCCCCCGATGGGCGCAAAGCTCGAGGAGAAGTCGTGGACTACTCTCAGCAATATAGGATCAGGAGGAAGGACAATAGGAAATCAAGCACTTCAGATTGGCCCACAGGTAGCGAAGAGAGAGATTGGCTCTGTGCTTTATGGAACTCGGAGGTTGTCAGGGTAAACGGCTACCAAGAAACTGCGATAACCACCGTTTAAGAGCTGTCCATTAGAAATGATCTGTTGTATTATCTATAGGAAGATCAGAGCAAATCTTTATCTTGATTTATTTGCAATTTATTGTTTTAGTCAATAATACTCCAAAAAGCATTGGAAACTGGTTGGAATTACTCTATTAACAGGGTCGCCAACCTTTTTGACCTCAGGGACCACCAAACTCATAATTTTAAATCCCGCAGACCCTGGGAAAATCCCCCCAAAAAATCTGCAGGAAAATTCCCCACCCCGTTTTCCTACCGATTGATCATTCTTTATTTGGGATCACAGGATACCGTCTCCAGCTCCGTTCTCAGGGGGAGAGAGAGAGAGAGAGACTTTGGGCTTCATGCAAGGAAAGCAGCAGAAGCAGCAGAAGTCTTTCTTTCTCTCCCCCAAACTCTGTCAGAAATGAGTCTTTGTGAGACTCGTCGTGCCGGCACAGCCTCTTGGAGCAGGAGGCCTTGCAGGGTCCCAAAGACTCATTTCTGGCGGAGTTTGGGGGAGAGAAAGAAAGACTTTTGCTGCTTTCCTTGTGTGCAGCCAAAAGCAGAAGAAGAAAGAAGCGGAAAGAAGCAGCCTGGTGGCCAGGCACGTGGGGCGAGTGGGGCAAGTCCCCCCCCTCCACCCTTTCCCCCCCTCACAGCCTGGTGTTGTTTGCAATGCAAGTGACACAAGCCTTGTGTTCCCGTAGGCCATGTGGGTGCTGCAGCCTTGTATTCCTGTTCAGCCTGGATTAATTGCTTTGGGGGGAGGGGTGACATTTCTCTGCGGACCACCAAAATATTCTTGCAGATCACCAGTGATCCCTACCCACCGGTTGGTGACCACTGCTCTAAAGAGCATTGGAAACTGGTTGGAATTACCCTGTCTATTAACTAGAGACTTTTGTCATAAACCGAGAGAGGGCACAGGGCTGTTTTTGAGGAAGGGTTTTGGGTGGATGTAGAAGAAAGAAAAGCACTTTCGGTAACCGAGAAGACTTCCTTCTCTTGCCAAAATTAAGGAGGATGAGATTGTCTTGTTAGAAGGCAAGGAAAGGCACAGATGCCATTTCTTAATTGAGAAATTGCTTCACTTGCTGTTTCAATTGTGGATAGTTCATCCAGGCATTCTTAAATGTTCTGTTTTCAGACAATCAGGATGGCTGGGATGGAAAACAAGAAAATGAAGAGTGGCTTCTAGGAGGACCAGACGTCATGGCGGAGAAAGATATGGAGTTGTTCAGAGACATCCAGGAGCAAGCATTGCAGGTAAAGTCAAGTCACATTGGATGGTAACTTCCACCCAATGTGTTCACAGCCAAAGAAGCTCACCAAGAAAGAAGGTTTTACTGCTGTCAAGGAAACTGAAGGAGATCATTTACAGAATATTTTCTGAGTATCAGACCACTGATGCACAATTTATTAACTCTGATTTTGGTGCAAGAAGTTCTGGGGAAAACTTAGAAGACACTATGGCATGGCTCAGAAGCATGGGCCTGAGGATGCAACCACCTGCTGGTTTAGGAAGACCTAGCTTGTAAACCTTCCATGCAAATGGGAAACAATAATTTGGATCATTGCGGAATTAATATGGAATTACTGCTGTAGAGTTGAATACATTTTAACTGGGCATTTCTTGGTGGCTCCTCTTTTTGTCATGCACATCTAGTTGTGTGGGAACTCCCTTGAGATCCTTGTACAGTTTGTTACTTCCCTTTTTAGGAGGGATAGTAATTCAGAAAAATGTTTGGCAGTCTCTAAAATGTTTCATATTTTTGGAACACTTGTTCTACAGCCAGGCATTATCCTCTTTTTAATGAAGGCAGGATTGATCACATTAGGAAACTATAAGAGTGTGGGAAATTTGGGCTGCATTTACAGGTAAAGACGGGGAAGAGGCCTAAAAATTGTAGTGGCCCAATGGTTAGAAGGCAGTATTGCAGGCTTACTCTGTCCACAGCCAGGAGTTTGATCCTGACCAGCTCCAAGTTGACTCAGCCATCCATCCTTCCGAGGTGGGTAAAATGAGGAGCCAGATTGTTGGGGGCAAGAGGCTGACTCTATACCGCTTAGAGAGGGCTGTAAGGCACTGTGAAGTGGTGCATAAGTCTAAGTGCTATTGCTATGGCTTATTTGGAACCAACACAAAGGTGAAAAAGCACGGAAAAGTATGCAGACTTAAATGAACTGGTTAAACTTACACGTCTCTCAACTTTACTAGCCAAAGAGCCACTGCAAGATGAAATACTCTGTTAATGTACGATGCCTTCAAGCCTTCGAAGCAACTTGTTTTAGCGTGGGTAGCAAGATAGAGAAGTGTGAAGCACTCCTGGTGGGGCTAGTAAGAAAGCACATGTGTTTACAGCCTTTAGGAAGCATTAGATCCATTCCTTCATGCCACATCTTTGCTAATTGGTTTGTTTTGGCAAGGACTGGGTTAAATGCAGCCGAGTAGCTGACGCAGTCCGTCTCTAGGTAGATCAGACGGCCGCACCTGAGCAAAAGGGAATTCACTCAGTAAAAATGCAAAGATGGCTCGCTGATTTATTGGGGAATCTTGTCGGACAAGAAGAACCTCAGACGGTGTGTAGCCAGTTTGGGTATTGGCAGCTTTTGATGAAACCTGGGACCACCTGAAGGGGATTTGGGCTGTTGTGATGTGCAAACAGTTGTATTGGAACTGGGACTTCACCTTTATTTCGGATGCTCAGTTGGAGGCTGTCGGGAAGGCGCAAACTCACGCGCTGTTATCACAGGTATAGTGGGCGGCGTTCCTGCTTGAAGCATCTCTGTGTACGATTAAAGAAATTCCAGCGCCCCCCCCAAAATATGAATATTCTCAGTTTCCTTAGTGAGATCATAGTTTTATATTCATTCTAATTGTTAGAAGCAGTTACGTATTTTCCATTCCTATTAGGAATGAAATGGCGATTGATTCAGTAGGGCCCAAAGGGGCTTTTTCAGGAGGCAACTGGACTTTCTTGTTTTTTCTTTTGAAGACATTTTGCTGCTCATCCAAGAAGCTTCTTCAGCTCTGACTGGATAGTGGGGAACGGAAGCATTTATACTCCTTGCATTCAGTAGGCCGTATTCTTACAGGATGTTATTCCACCGATTAGTCTGTTTGTTAGAGCACTTGCACCTGAGCAATTAATTGAAGGCAGCTTGTAGAATTAAACTTTTTTTTATTTCTTTCAATTTACCTGTTGTGTGTCCCCTCCCCTGCCCAATAAAGAGACTTTCTTAAACTGCGACGGAAACACATTGTCTAGTTTGATTTGCTCTGGCTCCTTCGATGCCCGAGGCTTGAGACTTCTTTTCGTAAGAGAGTCCAGGGAATCAGTTGGTGAACCCTGGCAAAGAGATGGCATTTGAAGAAATTGAATTCCCTCTTGTGTGCAATGCGATACACTGACAGAAAGCTTTTGTGGTGCAGTGTTGTGAATAGGTCTAGCAGGTTGTATGCTAGTATGTCGGGTAAGTGTGAAGGCAAGGCAAGATTTTTCAGAGGCAGTGTTAAACTCATTGCTACTTTGAAACGTGAAATAAAAGAGATGGTAAACAAGGCACACCTATAAATTCCCAAGGACTTGCTTTGCCCTGAGGTTGGTATAGGAATATACAGATTGCTTTGTGGGTTAAGATCAAAGGTTTTACCTTCTGTGGCATCCTTTTTAACAGTTGTCAGCCAGAGGTCTCTAGCAGGTTCGGGAGCACAGCTCGATGGCGGTAGCTAGCCATTTCTTGTTTTATCCTCAGTATATGGTGATCAGACTTGCTGGTCCTAAATACAGAAATTGTGTTTATCTATTAAAACCCATCCTTATCTTGCAGACAATGGTCATCCACACCTAAATTACATAATCTTCATGCAGTTCCAAAGTTTCATGTGCTGGTTTCTGAAGATACCTCAGTTTAATAAACCGGTGTTTCCTAGACTTCAACTGAATGTTGTAATCTCTCCTGCTTTATAATGGAGGATTTAATGTAGGTTTAATGTAATGTAGGTTCGTGTAGGACATTAACCGGCATCATGTCACATCCAACTCTGGAAATTTAGCTTAATCTTGGACTACAAATTTGGATAGGAAACTAGAGAGTGAGAGAAGAGGAAACAAACTAACTCATTGTTCTCTGTTGATTTACTAAAAAAGAAAAGAAAAATAGAGCTGTTTATAGGTATTTTTAAACACCATAGAACCGTTTTTTACACCATCAAATTATCATTTGGAGGGAGATCAGCTCCAGTGCAGTAAAATTAAATAATTGTTAACCTAAACCTGAAAATACTTGCTTTTCCTGGTCTTCTAAATGAATCCTACCAATCTCTGGCTTAAAAAAATGATTAAATCATTGGTTGAAGGGCAGTCCTAAATCTTTGGGGACATAGTAATTGTGGCTTAAGCTAAAGAGAAAATAATTCACAGGGCTGAAGTAAGAAAAGTCGAAAGGAATACATGCACCCACAAGGCTTGCTTGCCTGATTAAAATTCTAAACAATGATTTGGCATGTCACCGTGGTCCGGTTCAGTGCATGAGGATGGGGGAAATCTTGTTCTTTTATCTAAACGTTTCAACATGTTCCTGTAATTCCCTAGAAAAGGGAACATAAAGGAAAAACAACCAACAAGAAATGGCTTTACGGCGGAGTTTCAGCTCTGGCTAAGCTGAACTAATTAATGCCTACTGAGAAACCATCTGCACGGCCTTCCTCAACTGGTTGGGAGGGGGGGATAAAAATGGAGGAAAAGAAGGCAAGAAAGAACTGGACCTTCTGGCTGTAATGTTTTTTGGGTGCAAGAACTGGACATCTGAAACCCTCTGTAGGCTAAGAATATTATTTTGGGCAGGACGTGCTGCCCTCGAAGCTCAGGTGCGCGGATACACGGTGCTGAGAGCAAAAAAAAAACACCTAAGTACCCAAGAAGCAGCAGCTGGAGTAATAAGAGAGGAGGAAAAGCCCTGTCACTAGGAAAAGCTGTAAAACATTTATAGTCTTTATTGTTTAAAATTCTTAGTGCACGGGGGAAACTAAACAGGAAAGGATTAAAAGGAGCCTAATTGGCTCTTTTAATCTTCACCTTTCTGCAAGGTATTCCCTCCTCTCCTTGAGGGGAGAAAGGGGTAGTAGGTAGAGAGGAGAAAAGAAGGATTCCTCCTTTTACAGAGAAGTAAAACTGTAAGCCACAATTAAGGCCAAAATTATGTTGATCACTTGAAAGGCAGAGACGGGACTCCCACCCCCCACCCCAGAGCACTTAAACTTTTATGACCTCCAGTCTTCCTGCAGAAAACCCCCATTTCAAGTCTGGTGGCATAAGGTATTCTGCAACGAGTAGAGGAGTGGAGAACTCTTCTTGTGAAATATTTCTGGACTTTCTCAACTGTGTTAATATCAGATACATGATATGGGTTCCAGACTGATGAGCTGTATTCAAATATTGGTCTAGCAAATGTTTTGTATGCTCTAGTTAGTAGTGTGATATTACCAGAGAAAAAGCTACATAAGTTTAAAACTTTAAAAGTTGTATCTGTATAAGTTGATAATGCTGATATTTTTTTCATGTTTACAAATAAAGAACGTATAACATTTCCCTTAGAGGTCTGAACTCAACGGATAATTCTTAAATTGAACTCAGTATCCTAAGGCAATTCCCTCTGAGGTTTACTCTATTTATTATAGATGCCCTTGATATACAGTTTTCCTTCTTCACTTTATTTGCCCTGAACTGCAAGATGGGTGGCATACAAACTGAACAAATAAAGAAAATAAATATAAATAAATACAATCCCATTTATTTCTTTAGAACGATAAGGGGAATTTAGTTTCCTTATGATCATTGCCTGGGTCATTACAATAAGAAACATTTCTAGAAATACAAAGTATGACTGGGACAACAACCTTTTTCCTATGTAATTTTCTCCATTTTTTTTGGCGTTGATGGAAAGAGATGTTCACATAAACTTGTTGCTTTTTTAAACTAGATTCCCAGAGCCGTGGAGTAAAATTGAGAGGGTTGAATTTGTGTATTTCTTTTTACAGAAAGTAGGAGTGACAGGGGCACATGATCCCCAGGTCCGCTGCCCATCAGTCATCGAGTTTGGAAAATATGAAATCCACACCTGGTATTCTTCTCCATATCCCCAAGAATATTCCAGGTAGGAAGCACCTTTTATGATGTGCGGTGTGTTGCCCACTGGAACTTTTTGCCATTGCTGGAAGTAAAACTATTACATATTTTTCTGATACACTCCTGTTTTAACCTCCCTTAAAAACGGGGGGGGGGGGGGGGGGCATGTCAGATGGAGAAAGGAAATAGTAGCCAGCAGTGTAATAAACATAAGAAAGATGCAGATAAAATTTTGGAAGGTAAAGTAAAGAATATGCTGGCTGATTTTACAACAAGCTTGTTTCCTGAATTTATTTTTCAAAAGAGTCCTTTTAGTAGAGGTTTTATAGGAGAGAGTAAAGAATTACATTTGAGTGTGATGGTTGGTGTATAGTTAAATCAGTAGGTTTGGTAGTATATAATATTGAGCCTCTGGTGACTTTCCTCGTAATCCTTTTTGCACTGCACCCTTTTGAGCTTGGAAAATACATTCCCTACTTTGTCTGCTTCTTCTTCTTCTTATTGATGGATATACAGGCAGTCCTCGACTTACGGCCACCATTGAGCCCAAAATTTATCCTGCAAAGCGAGACATTTCTTAAGTGGCTTTTGCCCCATTCAGTGACTTTTCTTGCCACCGTTGCTAAGCGAATCAATGCGCTTGTTAAAGTTAGTAACACAGTTCTGTGAATCTGGCTTCCTCCGTTGACTCCGTTGACTTTCATCACCAGAGGAGATGTCACGACCAACTCTGGGGAGGCTGCAGTGGTCACAAGTGTGAAAAATGACCTTAGGTCACTTTTTTCAGTGCCGTCCTAGCTTCAAACGGACACTAAATGGACTGTTGTAAATGAAGGACTGCCTGTATCATGCCGGAAGTCAGCTTAAGTAGTCTTTCGCTTAGGCCTCTACAGGTCTCCCTCTGCTCCAATCTGCTCTTTGGTTTAATACTGTCCAATGAATAATTATTTAAAAGAAAACACTTTCTTGCTCTTGTTATTTGTTGAAGGGATGAGAACTGCAGGGATTATATTGCTTAGCTCTTTGAAAGTTACTTTTTTCTTTAGCTATGTAGAAGAATATAACTTTATTACAGTCATACACCAGCAGTAGACATCACTATTTACAATAGATATAAAAAATACTGACACATTATAATACGTTAATAGTGGATAAAAACATCTGTTAAGAAAATACATGTTCTCAAACAATTAGGGGCACTCCCTGGTTTATATGAGTGGAGAGCCAATAAGTATGTGTGTAAATATCATTTTCCAAAGATTGTTCTATCTCCAAAAATTGTCACAAATTGACAGCTAAAATTCTGTAACCAATTTTTTTCTAGTAGACATTGCAGCAACACCTTTAGCTATATATGTATATATGCTTTTCTTTAATAAGCAAACTCAGTGTCTATATGAAAAGTGTGTTGTCTGAGTACAGTTAGTTTTGAACAACAGAAAGTGAATAAGCATAATGGTAATCCTATATGTATCATTGATAATAATCACATAATAATAGTAACATTGGTTATCCATACCAGGAAGCTTTCCTTATATAATTAATCATTCTTTTAGTCTCTTTAATTTCTAACCTCTGTTTCTATTAGCCATTGCTAAACAGGTGCCATGTTAAAAAATATTCAGTTTCTTCCTTCTCCTTTATTTTTAGTATTAATCTGTCCATCTCTGTGCATTCTAATATTTTTTATTGTACTTTCATCTAAAGAGATCTCTTCATTTTTCCATTGTTGTGCAAAGACAATTCTTGCTGCTATTAACACATGTAAAATTAAATATTCCCTTTATTATATTGTTCTGGTAAAATACCCCCCCAAATATTTCTAGTTTAAAATTAATGTGTTAGTTTATTATTTTTTCTAACCGTGTATGTATTTTGGTTCAGTATTTTTTTTTGCCTTTTTTCTTTAGTTCTGAGTGGGTATTAACTGGTTTGTATTTTTTTCAGGTTGCCCAAGTTGTACATTTGTGAATTCTGTCTCAAATACATGAAAAGCAGAACTATTCTCCAGCAGCACACGAAGAAATGTGGTTGGTTTCATCCCCCAGCCAATGAAATATACAGAAAGAGTAATGTTTCAGTTTTCGAGGTAAATTTCAACAGCTCTTAACTGCTGTTTGTCCCAATAAAACAGGCAACGTAGTTCACAATGAATTTTCACAGCAAGTTCTGAACCAAGGAATAGGAACTAGCTCTAGAACACAGAAATATAATTTGAATAGTCTCTGGGTATGTTGTTTGCAGAGTCCTGGGCAGCCAGCAATTTTTGGTGAAGGTACAGTGGGTGAGAATTTGATTTATGCCCACATGTTTCTGCTGTAAATTTCTGCCTTCTACATTGGCTTTTTAAATACCATTTCCAAAAAGAGTTATGTTTCACGATTTAGGAGTAGTAGTGTTTTAGGTACTCTTTAAATAAGGTTATAAATTCTTGCCCATATAAACAAATCTAAGGGGTTGCTAAGCTTAAGAATATGGGTTGCCTTGCGGGGGAGGGCAAAGGTCAGAGTAGTGATGCTTTCCAACTGCTCTCTTAATGCTTTCAAAAATGGATGTTTTCCCTGTTTGCTCTAATATTATTTGGCCAGGATGTCATATTCTATTGTGGTTTTCTGATGAGGATACAGTCAATTAATCTACTTCTCACTTTTAAGGTGGATGGCAACGTCAGTACTATTTACTGCCAGAACTTATGTCTATTGGCAAAACTCTTCCTGGACCACAAGACTCTGTACTACGACGTGGAGCCATTCCTTTTTTATGTGCTGACGCAAAATGATATGAAGGGCTGTCACCTCGTCGGGTACTTCTCCAAGGTGAGGGTGCAGGCGTTGAAACCTGGCTTTTGATGTGCGGGAACCCTGCAAGGGTGTGTCCTCAAAGTCACCAAGAAATGAACTGAGTTTGAAGGGGACTTTAGTTTCATTTTGCAACCCTGGGCGTTGGTTCTTTTCTGACCCCCTCAGCAGAAGGAAATAAGCTTCTGTAGTGTAAAAAAACTACTATAAAATGTGGACTTTGGAAATCCATTTAAATGATGCTAGCTATGTATAGGAGCAGCCATTTCCTTAGCTGAATATTTCAGTTTTTACACGCCTTGTGTGTGTGTGTGTGTGTGTGTGTGTGTGTGTGTGTATATATATGCCATCATCAGGCTTCTGGCAGATGAGATTCTGCCGAAATGTTGCTACAACTTTAAAAGCACAACTATAATGATGTGGGAAAATACCCAAACAAAGCTAAATTCTATATCTTTATCTATATCTATATATCTATATATATATGCTAATTATTAAGGATAGTAAATGCTGCATTCAGCGTCAATCCCCCATGCTTTCCTTGCCCCCATCCCCCAACACCACTTCTGAAACTATGATATAATTTGTGCAAAAAGATAATTTTTCCTCCTCCTATCTCTGGCTTTTTTCTTTTGCCGTCGCATTAAACCCCCTGTGCTGATTCTTTATCTCTGAAAATTACCTTTGAAATTAGTTCTAAACTGCATTCTAGTGGCTCTAATTGGGCTGGTGTTTTCCGTGTGCGAATTCAAAGTGATTCCGCAGTCATTCTTCTAAAAGTCTGCTGGATTTTTAACTGCCCGAGGGACTTCTGAAGCAGTGGGTGCATTTTCCCCCTATCCCTTTTAAAACTCTGTCTAGACAAATCTAGGGAACTGAAGCAGTTAACACGCCTGGCTTTCTCTTCATCCTGCCTTGAAACAGAGTGTATCCTCCGAGGAGTGTGAATTCCAGCTTCGGCGGTTCTAAAGGGAGGTTTTAAATCACTTCCTCATCCCTTGGGTAGCGAAGAGTACAGCTAGTTGGTGAAGTAAACATTCATTGTTAGCGCTGCTCCTCAAATCAGATGCTGATCTCATTGCAAAGCTTTTGTTTTGCGCCCCTGAAAAAAAAGACACACACACACACACACACACACACACACACACACACACAGAGAGAGAGAGAGAGAACATGGCCTTCGTATTCCTCCTGCATAGACGGGGTCCAGGCGTGAAGGCTTAAGACTGGCCTTTTGCAGAAACTGTTTTGCTGGGAGAAGAAATTTTCCAGGACGTGTGTGTGTGTGTGTGTGTGTGTGTGCGCGTGCGTGTGTGTGTGTGTGTGTGTGTGTGTGTGTAGAGGGGAGGAAATAACCATGCTGTGTAGTTCAGCTAGCCTGCTTACAGAATGGGGGGGGGGTATGCCTGCTGGATGGTAGTTCTGCCGTAAGGGCCTAAATCCTCTGTTTCTTTGGGAGGTGCTGCAGATCTTCAATTTCCACTCGGCAAGGCAAGAAGTGTGTGTGTGTGTGTGTGTGTGTGTGAGAGAGAGAGAGATTCGTGAAAACAAGGCAGTGTTGAATAGGTTAAAAACATCATCAAAGAAAAGAAGATCTAGGGATCAAGGCAGAGCTTAAATACAATAGTACAATTTCGGGAAATACAAAAACATTCAAACAGCTCCTGTTCAAATGGTTCACAAATTGCCCCAGAAATGCTGTTTTCCAGAAGGACAGCAGGGGCAGAGGGGTGTGTGTGTGTGTGTGTGTGTGTGTGTGTGTGTGTGTCCCCAAATTGGTTTGAGGGGAATTGCCACTCCAAAGGGGAGAAGCAACAACAAGAACAGCACACCTCCTGGGTCCCACAAGGTGGCATTATTTTGTAGATGGGCCTGGAGTATGCCCACCATTCTAGGTGCTCACGAAGAAAGGATTTTTCCAAATGACTCATCGGAGCATTTAGAGTATTTCCTATATTATTATTATTATTTACTAACATGCTCTGATGCTAAGGAGTTCTACTCCTCCTTCCCACCTGAAAAGAAACGACTTTTCTTGCCACGGTTGTTAAGTGGATACCGCAGTTATTCAGTCAGGAGCACAGCCCCTCCCCCCAATTGAGTTCGGTTATCAGGATGTGGCAAATTTGAATTTGGATCACGTGACTAGGGGGATGCTGCAGTGGTCTTGGGGGTCCCAATAAGTCACTTTTTTTCAGTACTGTTGTAACTTCAAACAGTCGCTCAACGAACTGTTGTAAGTCGAGGACCCCCCTCGATTCATTTTCATTACATTTACTCTTACCCTTACAGACACCTGGGTGGTTTGTTCTGAATATCCCCATTTACCTGCTCAGTAGCTTGAGAGAGTCATGCCTGTCGAACAAAGACATTTTCCTGGTAATAAATACTCTGGGGTATTTATCCTAGAACCCAAACAATATAAACATTCCCCAGGTTTTCTCTCCCATTTTAAGTGGGGAGGGTTGCGGAAGCCTTTCTGTTTTTGGAAAGTTGCAAAGAAGCAAGAGGGAGGGAGAGCCAGAGTCATTTGGATGAAACACTGCTGGATTTCAGGAACCAAACCAATCTTTCCTTCCCCAACCCCACCCTTCCCAAATAATTAGGGCCTTGCTGTTGTTCTTCCATCGGAAGACGTGTTTTTCACCTGATTTTCTCCTGACTCCCCGGTGGAATTACAGCTGTGTCCTTGGCTGGAATATTCCCCTCCGTATTAATTATTGCCCTAAAGAACTCTTCTGTGTCACAAGGCCGTGCTTTTAATAACTGGATTCTCTCCCACCCCCCTCTTTTCTCTTTTTTTCTAGGAGAAGCACTGCCAGCAGAAATACAATGTCTCCTGCATCATGATTCTTCCCCAGTACCAGCGCAGGGGCTATGGCAGATTCCTCATTGACTTCAGTAAGGCCCCTTCTTATTTTATATTTTTCTGGGTTGGTTGGTTTTTGTTTTTTTTTAATTTTCCCCTGCTCTAACTTGGCTTTACGGTTTACGGAGGGTATAATTCTCCTTCAACTGATTGGGCTGGAGGTGACTTCGAAAGGATTCTTTACCTGAATCGGCTCTATTTTGCAAATCCAGGAAACCTCTGCTCCCCACCTCTCAACTCTTTTTTTGTGAAAGTTAATGTTTTATTTGTTTTGTGTGTGTGTGTGTGTGTGTGTGTGTGTGTGTCTTACATCATCACCTTCCTTTTTTTTCTCCCCCGTTGCATGTCCATTCAGCAATCTTAAATTAACAATCCTGTTTTAAATCTGAATCTTGTTTTTATCCAGAAGTCCATTCCGGTAAATTGTTGCTGATTTAGATCATAGATATATAATACCGCAGTAGCTCAGTGGCTGGGCTTGTTGTCTGAGAAGCCAGCAGCCCAGGTTCGAGACCCGAGCGCCATGTGATGCGGTGAACTCTCATCCTCATCCCATCTCCTGCCCACCTAGAAGTTTGAAAGCATGCAAACGTGAGGAGAAAATGAAAAGAAAAGAAAGCTCAGGACCATATTTGTTGGAAATATATGGAAGAGGGCTTCATCCTGCAGTGGATCGATTGTGGCTAAGAGGAGGAGGAGAAGGAAGAAGAAGAAGAGGAAGAAGAAGAAGAAAGAAGAGGAGGAGGAGGAGGAAAAAGATGAAGAAGTAGAAGGAAGAAGAAGAAGGAAGAAGAGGAGGCGGAGGTGGAAGAAGAAGTAGAAGAAGGAAGAAGAAAAGGAAGAGGAAGAAGGAAGAAGAGGAAGAAGAAGAAGGAAGAGGAGGAGGAGGAGGAAGAAGAAGAGGGAGAGGAAGAAGAAAAAGAAAAAAAGAAAGAATAAATGCATCTTTCCGTGACATCATGCTGGCCACATGACCATGGAAACGTCTTTGGACAGCGCTGACTGAATGGCCTTGAAACAGAGATGAGCATCGCCCCCTATAGTCAGCAACAACTAGCCGAGTAAAATCCACAGGGACTCCTTTACCTTTACTTTATGTAGTAGTGGTGCTGTTACACCTCTATTTAGGTCCATCAGCCTTGGGGACTGGGATGGCTTGCTTGAATCTCACAAGGGAGCATGAGGGGCGGCCAGTGGCTATCTGGAGATGCCCTGTGTTGCGTGCTAGGTTCCAGCCAAATAAGCAAGCAAGCAAGCAAGCAAACAAACAAAGGTTTCCTGCCCAGTCGTGTCCATCTCTAGCGGGTGGTGCTCATCTCCATTTCTTAGCCAGGGGGACCATGTAGTCGTGTGGCTAGCGTGACTATATACCGAGGTGCATAGAACACTGTTACCTTCCCTCCGAAGTGGTATCTATTTATTCACTGGCTGGAGAATTCTTTGGAGTTGAAGTCCACAAGCCTTTAAAGGTGCTAAGGTTGGACATCCCTGCTCTAGATCCTTTGATTTGTCCCAAGTTTGGATTACTCCAGTTTGCAAAGGGAGAATCGATGGAAATTCTGTGATTCTGCCTTAGAACCATAACTGGTAGAGCAAAGAGGTGAATTTAGAGTCGTAAACGACTGCTGTGCACAGGAAAAATAGAGGTGTATTTCTGTACCAATCTGAAAGTTCAGGCAGTGCTGGGGAAGAGACCTCAGCATTATTTGAGATAGAGGAAGTACTCTGGTTATTCTTTTTAGTTGCTCTTAAAGATTAGAAAATCTGATACATGCGGATTTGTTTTAGTTTTCTTTTTTTTTTAAAGAATCTTGAATTGTGCATGGAAGTCAAATAAGTTGGGTAGCAACTGACAGGAAATACAAAGCAATGCAGTGCTTTCTGGAGAGGAAGAGAAGTCCCATTTTCAAAGCCAAACTACCGTGTTTCTCATATAATAAGGCCGGGTCTTATTTTTTTTTGAGCCCCGAAAAAATGGCTAGGCCGTCTTTTGGGGGGTGACTTAATTCCCCCCCTTGCATCTTCGGGTGGGTGGGCGGCGATGGCTTGGATGTTGACCTCGGCGTTGGTGGGGCACTTCGTATCGGGGTCAACGCAGGCAGAACCATATCCGGGTGTGCAACAAAAGTACTTCCTAACAACAAGCCCCCCCACCATTCCCCCCATTTTGCATGTTTTAATATAGGCCTTAATTTGGGAGGAGGGGCTTAATTTCATTTCATGCCTATAAAACATGCTGGGACTTCCTATTGGGGGAGGCCGTATTGTTGGAGAAACAGGGTAAGTACCTCTTTACTCATTTTCCCCTTCATCTTTAAATGAGAAGATGCTCATTTGTGCAGGCAGCTTCCTATGTCACGGAAAGTGAGCTGCGCACATGATGTGCCCTAAAGGGATGCTGACATTTCAGTCCTCATTATCTGAAACCGAACCCCATGCGCTGATAGCAATTTCTAGCTGGAGTTCCAGTTCTTTCCCCCTTCTTTAAGTAATTGCTTGTGTACCTCCTTGTTGCTGTCTGGTGCATTTGAAAAGCTCAGTGATGGCTCCTGAATCCCAGGCCCTTAGATGAGTCTCTGAATTGACTTCATTATCAGCTTGCTGAAGGTGAAGTGTGAGTTGAAGGCTGGGGAGGAAAACCCTCTCAATCATGAGAGCTTCTTTGTATTAATTGTAGAACATGGATGACTGGAATTTAATTTTTATAAAGCCAGGGCGTGTAATGAATTATGATTCCCTGACTTTAAGGTGAAAAATCATTCTAATTAGCTTCGTTGATTTGGTCAATTCTTGATCGTAGGAGGCCTTGACACTAGCAATATACAGGTAGTCAGTCCTTGACTTATTGAGCCCAAAATTTCTGTTACTACGTGAGACATTTGTTAAGAGGATTTAGTCTCATTTTACAACCTTTCTTGCCAAAGTTCTTAATTGAATCACTGCAGTTCTTAAATTAGGGACACGGTTATGAAGTTAAGTTAATCTTAGAACAGAGTTGGAAGGGACCTTGGAGGTCTTCCAAACCAACCCCCTGCTTAGGCAGGAAACCCTATACCATTTCAGACAAGTGGCTGTCCAGCCTCTGGCTTCCCCATTGACTGGTTGCAAAAGGTGATCACATGATCCCAGGACACTACAGCCGTCATAAATACGAGCCAGTTGCCAAGCGTCCGAATTCGGATCACACGGCCACGGGGGGTGATGCAAAGGTCCATAAGTGTGAAAAATGGTTATAAGTCATTTCCCCCCCAGTGCTGTTGTAATTTTGAACCATCACTAAATGAATTGTTGTTAAGTCGAGGACCACCAGTAACCAGAAAAACCAAGCAGCTGCCAGCCCTTATTTGTTTCTATAAACATTTATATTTCTCATATTGAGCACTTGACTACTGTAACATTGTAGACAGGGGGCTGCCCTTTGGAACTTTAAAAAGCAGCTACTGGCACTTAAGCGTACAAAACCTCTAGCCTGCCTACCAAGTCACCAAGCGAGCACACCTTAAGGCAGGGGCAGGCAGCGATAGCAACTTTATGACTTACAGACTTCAACTCCCAGAATTCTTGAGCCAGCATGCCTGGTTCAGGAATTCTGGGAGTTGAAATCCACAAGTCTTAAATTGGCCCAGTCTGGAGATCCCTGCCCTAAAGGGGTTGGACAAATAAGGTGGTTTAGGGACCCCTGCCCTAAGGTGGGTTTGACAAAATAACAGTATTTTACAACAGGTTGCAGACCAGCACGTTTACCATGACATATATCTTTGTGGAATGCAGCTCACACCATTGGTTGCGCTAAAAAAAAACCTCAACCACCACCAATAAAGGCAATAAAATGATGTAACATTTGAAAATGGGTCTTGAGTCCTCTTCTTACAAGTTGGGGATGAACAGTGAGTTCAAACTCTTCACGCAATGAGGTCAGCGGAGTGGCAGATGCTTCTTTGGGGAGTAGAGGCAGATGGCTTTGTTTTGGGGAAACTTCTAAAGTATCCACTTTTAGAAGTAAGACACACACACACACACCCCATTTTTTTTTTTTAGGTGCCTTTTTGTCCTACAGAGAATAGTGCTCTCTCTCAGTTGGTCAATGCATACAAAAGACGCACTGAGAAGAAAAAGGAAGGGAACACAGGGTTTAACAGAAGTATTACAAAATTTTAAGAAGAACTTAAAGGGGTAAAAAGTAATTCTATAGTAGCATATTAAAAGTTAAGCCACTGTCTCTGTCTTGAGGTGGGTGATAGACAGGATAGAATGTGTTGTAAAAGAGGGAGAATAGATCCCCTCTTGCAGTTTGTTGGTAGGCTGTTAAACAGCACAGGGAATATACTGTATGTCCCCTAGTGGCCACGAACACAACTCAGATGCAGAAATGCATTTATATTTTAACACTAAGCAGTTGGAAGGGACCTTCCAATCATCATCATCTTTTAATGACCCCCATAATCCCTTGCGGAGTTGAGTCTGGGCAACTGCATGGAGCGGGGTGTTTATTGGCCGGATGCCCTTCCTGTTGCCAGTGCGGAGTTTTATTTAGCAGATACAATCCCATTAGGCCCAGAGGAGAGAAATAACCTGCTTCTACCTAGGATTGAACTCACAACCTCCTGATTGCGAGGCGAGAGCTCCAGCTCTAGGCCACAGCACTACTCTTGGAAGGGACCTTCCAATGTGTGTTTATAGTCTACCTGGACCTCATTCTCTAGCGTTTCCTTCGCTGGAACTGGTGCCAAAGCCCTTCTCTGCCTTGGAAGAATTACTCGTGTTCCTTGAAAATTGAGATTTTGGTTAAAGGGGGTCCATATTACTGTGGTTTTCACATGTCCGTCCATCTGCTGAAAAATCTCAGCTCTTTATGAAAATCCCCCTTGATGTCTGGCTCCCTTTCTTGACGAAACTGTGGAGAAGGTAGCATTTACTAATACATATTAGATTTCCATCCCATTTTTTGTACAGGAGCTGAAGGCAAGCTCCCTGAGATGGATGTTCATAAGGACCAGAGTAACAACTTGTTGGTTGTAACAATTTGTTTTGTGAATCTCCCCCCCCCCCCCACCAAGAGGTGTCACTAGTGGTGTTTCAGGGCCCCTTAAAAGGTAAAGGTTCCTCTGCACATATGTGCTAGTCGTTTCCGGCTCTAGGGGGCGGTACTCATCTCCGTTGCAAAGCCGAAGAAGAGCCAGCACTGTCCGAAGACGTCTCCGTGGTCATGTGGCCGGCAGGACTGCACGGAACGCTGTTACCTTCCCACCAAAGTGGTGTCAGAGTATATTCATGAACTGGAATAGAGCTTACTAACAAGGTCAGCCAGTGAGAGCTGAATTGGGGGCTGAAACTTAAAAGAGAGAATCTGGGCGTGGTTTATCTCTGTTCTGTGCTCAGCTCTAAAGTGAAAGAGAAACTAAATTGCTTGTCTGCTGAAGTTGAGTTGCTGTTAAGCTCTGAACCTGTCTGCTTCTATTTGAGTTTGCTCCATGTTGAAGAAATCTACAACCGGTATTGTAAAATTCACTTGTGTTTATAAAGAAGTTAAATGAAGCCTCAGCCACCTGCGTTTACTTTTCTGGCGCTGAATTTATGCTGCAATACTCTGAACAAGTGGTCCCCTATTGTTCTACTTGCGGTTTTTTTTTTTACATGCTTCCGAGCTGCTGGATTGGCAGAAGCTGGGACAAGGAACGGGAACTCACCCCGTTATGCGGCGCTGGGGATTCAAACCGCTGACCTGCCGACCTTCCTGATCGACAAGCTCAGCCTCCTTAGCCCCTGAGCCATCCTTAGCTGCTCCCAGCTCTTGAGTAACCTGAGAAGAGTCGGGTGTGTCCCAAACGTGGTCCTGAGCCCTTTCTGCTATTTCCTAGGTTATCTCCTCTCAAAACGTGAAGGCCAGGCAGGATCCCCGGAGAAGCCGCTGTCTGATTTGGGTCGTCTTTCCTACATGGCATACTGGAAAAGTGTAATCTTGGAGTGCCTTTATCACCAAAACGACAAGCAGATCAGCATCAAGAAGTTAAGCAAACTGACCGGCATCTGTCCTCAAGACATCACCTCGACTCTCCATCACCTGCGCATGCTTGATTTCCGTAACGATCAGTGAGTATCTCATTTCCTTCTCTCTCACGGAATCAGGTGGCTCGGGAAACGGCAGGATTATGCTCAGGGCTGATTCTGTAGGTGCAAAAATCCCCCCCAATGCAATTTAAAAAAAAATAAATACCCATCTTTCTAGCCCTTGTGCTATCAAGGTTATTCTTGAGAGGGTTGTTTCCCCCCCCCCCTTCAATCTCAGAAGTCAGGGTGAATTTAGAGAGCCAGAGAAGCGACTGAGGGGTTAAAATAGGAATGGAGAGGCTAGAATAGAATTAGAATTAGAATTGCAGAGTCGGGAGGGACCTTGGAGGTCTTCTAGTCCAACCTCTTGCTTAGGCAAGAGAAACCCTATAGTATTTCAGATAAATGGTTGTCCCATCTCTTCTTAAAAACTTCCAGTGTTGGAGCATTTACAACTTCTGGAGGCAAATTGTTCCACTGATCAACTGTTCTCACTGTCAGGAAATTTCTCCTGAGTTTTAAGTTGCTGGATTAATTTCCACCCATTGCTTCCTGTCCTGCCTCTTCAGGTGCTTTGCAGAATAGCTTGACTCCCTCTTCTTTGGGGCAGCCCCTGAGATATTGGACCATTGCTATCATGTCTTCCCCTAGTCCTTCTTTTCATCAAACTAGACATACCGAGTTCCAGCAACCGCTCTTCGTGTGGGTTGATGCATTTTATGAGCCCAACCAATGTGGCTAATTTCATCTCAAGGGTCTCTCTGACATTTTGAAGGCCCCAAGCTTACAGCGGTGAGCAACGGCTGCACCGCTTAGTAGCAAATGCTTAGTAATGCACCTCTCCTCTGGGTCTCCCTACGTTTCCGTGTTTGAGACATGAACTTGATGCCATGTGACTGAAGCAGCCCATCCTTTTCTCCTTCCTCAGATTTGTGATTGTTCGGCGGGAAAAACTTATCCAAGACCACATGGCGAAGCTGAAACAGAACACCCGGCCTGTAGTCGTGGACCCAGAATGTCTGCGCTGGACCCCGGTCATCGTCTCAAACTCAGTGGTTTCCGAGGATGAAGAGGATGATCCCGAAGAGACAGAAATCGAGGTCCCACCGCAGTTGCGGGAGAGAGACATTGAGGTCAGAATGCGAGGCATTTATGCATTACTAGCTGGATAGCCATGCTTCGCTATGAAAGTGTGTGGTCGGCTTTAGTTTTTGGGGAGGAAAATAAGGGGGGAAAATTGTGCCTCTGCCTACCAGCATCTATCGGTATTCGTCTGGCTAGTGTCCTGTCAGTGTGTGACAGAGTTGAGGGCTGTTTGGAAACTGAAGTAGTATTTGCTGTGTAAGCAAGAAGGAGACAGCAAGGAGCCTGGGCGTGGCTTAGCTCAACTGTTCTGTACTAAAGCTGTTTGGTGCTGCTCTGAAACTGAAACTCCTCTCCTCTGCTTGTGTTTTGCATTTGGAACAGATTTCTTTTCAGGTGGGGAGGGGGAGTGGAACTCCTTAGCATCAGAGCATGTTAATAATAATAATGATAATATAGGAAATACTCTAAATGCTCTGATGGTCATTTGGAAACATCCTTTCTTAGTGAGCCCCTAGAAGCCAAGAGGAACATATATGCCAAATTTCAAATTTGTAGGCTTTACGGTTCTGGAGATTTTGTGATGATGCGCGAGCGGTCTTTTGCTTTTATATATATATAGAGAGATGATAAATTGTGTAGTATAGAATCACAGAATAACAGAGTTTATGGACGTCTTCTAGTCCAACATACTCTTTAAGAAGGAGACCCTATACAGTCCCAGACAAATGGTTGTCCAATGTCTTCTTAAAAACCTCCAGTGATGGTGCACCCACAACTTCAGGACACAATCTATTCCACTGTTTCATTGTTCTCATGCTCAGGAAGTTTTTCCTTAGTTCTAAGTTAAATCTTTCTTTAATTATCTTCCCTCCGTTACTTCTTGCCCTGCCCTTAGATGCTTTGGAAAATATATTAACTTCCAGCTCCCAGAATTCCCTAGCCGGCATGTTGACTGAAGAATTCTGAGACTGAAGTCCGTATATCCATATGCAATGAAGAAATTGAGCCTGTAGAGATTCTCAGTCCTCCAGGTCACGGTTGTCCCAAAGGGGCTTTTTTCAGGAGGCAACTGGACTTTCTTGGTTTTTCTTCGAAGATGTTTCACTTCTCCTCCAAGAAGCTTCTTCAGCTCTGACTGGATGGTGGGGAAGGGTAGGATTTATATTCCTTGCAGACAGCT